ATCTATTTCCTACCATAGGGTTTGCAGCATGGAGAAATACACAGCAAGAGCTTTTTCTCCCTGTTTCATACATATCACCTGATTTCTTAACTGATAGGCTCTGGCTTCATTTTGCTTCTGAGAGTAGGTTTCAGTCACTCCATCCCAAATCTCCTTAGCAGTATTAACCCATAGGAAATTTTTTGCAATATGAGGTAACATAGAATTACATAGTCAGGACATTACCATGTAATTCTCCTACACCCATCGGGAAACGTCTGTATCAAGTTTCTTCTCCTCCCCAGTAAGATACCCTAATTTTCCACGGGCACCAATAGCCATCTTAGCTGATTCTGCCCACTCCAAATAATTTGTACCATCAAGTTTTATTGTAGTAACGATCCTAGACCCAAAAATAACACTACTACCTCCAACACCCAGTCCCACGGTACCGGTAAATTTCATCTCGGTATTCCAACTCTTCATCTTACTTCAAATAGTTCAACAGTAAGAAAAAATAGATTGGAGACCTTCAAAAAATAGTTTAATATCACACACAAAGAAACCAACCCTTCCGGAGGAAAAAAAAAAAACCCTAGCTGGAGAGAAATCTCTCTCCTCCCCACACCTCCCAACAGAGAGAAGAGTGAATCGATCACTCCAAGAGGCTCAGAAAATTCCAGAAACCAAACCGCCCTCTTCAGAAAATCAAAAGAAAACTAACAATACCTAAGCGCCCAAGATCAAACCAAAAACAAAGAGTCCAACATTTCTGGGACTCTTCCCCGAACTCCAGTTCTTCCTGATTTTGATGTCGAACAGTAGATCACCTTCCTGATGACTAGATCCCACCAAAAAATCCAAGAACTGGGCAATCTATAGCAGATCAGTCAGCCCTTTACTACTTCATGCAATTGGCTGATCTAGGGCTGCATGAGAATGTTTCAATAAACCCTAGTTGATGCTCTGATACCAAGTAGGAATCTGCTGAATTAAAAAAATATGAAAGAAAAGTAGTTTCTTGAAGAGAGAAGGAGAAGAAGAGAAGAGAAGTTGAAAAGAAAAGAGAGCAATAATCTGGCCGCCCCCTTCACTTATTACTTATACTAAAAATAATAGAACAGTACAAAGACAACTATGCCCTTATAGGGCAGCAAAACATAAAACAGCATATATAACACTCAAAAATATAATAAAATTTGGACTCACATAACTACTGTAGTCCCCACCTCCTATCTAACAACTAACATAAAACATATACTCAGAAAAACATCATAAAACTGATTAATCTTCAACAATATCTCTCATATTTTGCTAAAAGAAAACATGTACAAACTCTAAAATCATGTCCTTGGGACAAGTTTAATTACTATGAACTCAGAATCAGAAGGCTTATGGGTCAGAAGATTGAACACATTTTTTCTTTGTTCAATTTACATATAAAGAAGAAGCCATAAGTGTGTATTAGAATTAGAGGGAGAAGGAAAGCAGATCAAATGGCCAGATTTTTGTATGAGTCACGGGTATCCTTTGGCGGGATCACTGAAGTAGATTCAGGGCTTGATGCTACTGTGGATTAACATTGTCAACATTCCTCTACATGCCTGGTGTATGCAACACTTTTTCTGCCATTGGGATTGTATATGAATTGATCATAGAAACCTTACTTTGGAACAACCTTCAGTCAGCAAGAATTATAATGAAGATAGAAGATTACTATTCAATGGCTCACTACCATCACTCATAGAGATGATTTTTACAGGGTAAATCTAGAAAGTTAGGATGTTGATTAAAGGATATATACCATTGGGCAGGTCAGAAAAGGAAGGGAATCCAGTGGCAGTACAATGACAGAAAATGAATATCTCAGAAATCTTGTGTGCACAAGGGAAAAAGCCAGTTGAGAAAGAGGTAGAATATGATGCAATGTCATGTATGGAGGGCAAAATAGTATATTCATCAGGGGTATTAAAGAACCAACAAATATAAAAGATAAGTGATGAGTAATGATAATCACCATCATCATCATCATCTAAGCCTTGTCCCAACTACATGGGGTTGGCTACACAAATCCCGTTTCACCATCTCGTTCTGTTTAGTGCCATATCCATTGTTAAATTATGTGCGCTTAAATAATTTTTCACTACTAGAACCCATGCCCTTTTAGATCTGTCCCTAGCCCATCTAGCCCTTTCAACTTGCAAGTTGCAACAGGTTGCTTTGTCTTGCTGGGTGATGTAGATGGTCTTCTATGCATGTAACAAAACCATCTTTGTCTACTTTCTCTCATTTTATCACTTATTAGGACTACTCTAGGTTTCTTCAACTGACTTCATTTCTGACCCTATCCTCTAGTTTTTCCACTCATCCATATTAACATATGCATTTCTGCTGCACTCATTTTTTGGATATTTTGTTTCTTGACAACCCAATACTCAGCTCCATACAAATGTGGGTGAGGCACCAATAGAGAATAGTAAGAGCCCAAAAGGTGATTGGTACAGGAAATGAAAGAAAAAAAAGTAACAACCGCAATCAATGTCCACAACAAAGAGAACATTTTGGTCTGCTAATTTGCAAAGATCCAATAGAGCATCAAGATCAAGTAAACGATGTTAACAAAAGATACTATAACAGGAAATGGGTATGTCAAAGTGAGAGGCTGTGATGTGGTCCATGAGGATGAGAATCAATCAATGTCAATAACCATTGAAGCTGAAAGACAGAATCAATGTGGGGTTGAAGAAAAAAGTGGGTGACTCCAAGAAAACCAATCCCTGGCACAGCCCTATGTCATGTGGCACTGGTAGAAATCCCTCGACCCCTTGGTCTGCTAACAAAATGGCAGACTCTCTTTCCCATGAGAGAGTGGGTAGACAAGAATCAAGGTGGGGTAAATACCCATTGAGCTAATACTGATCTATGTATGGGGTGGGGGCTCTATAGTGGAGCAAGGGAAGCATGATGCTAGTTGATTTCATTTTTCTGCTCTGTATAAAAGAATTTACACTTTGTACATCATTTCTTTACATTTCTTATAATCAATAAAATGCAAAATTTACTAATTAAAAAATTAATTAAAGCTGGTCCAAATCCTATTATAGGTCATACGTGATCTCCTTTTATTGGTTGGTAAAGTATATGTGATTGTGCATGTAATATATAAGCATCTATGCAAAATGCATTTTCTTTTAATAGCAGAAAAGGAATTTTATTAATGAAAGATTAGGAATTACAAGATCTAGGGTGTAGGTTCCACCCCAAATCAACAAAGAATAAAGATTTTCCCAAAACATTTGCCATCTCACAGCCCCTTCTTTGGCCAGAGAATCTGTCATTCCATTTGCTATTCTTCTTACCCACTTAAAGAAAACATTTAGTTCCCTTGTTAGGCTTACTATCTCCCTGAATTTATACCGGAATACCCAAGGAACCTGGGAGCTATTTCTGGTCCATGAGGTGACTACTTGGGAATCCCCATCCACCTCTAGATTATGGAAGCCTAGTTGTTTCACAAGCCTTAGCCCCTGCAGTAGACTAACCAGTTCAGCTGTCAATGCATCGCTATGTACCGAGTGTCCTGAATATAAAGCCACCTCTCTACCTTTTATATCTCTAAAGACACCCCCTACCTCTGCCAATCCCCTATTACCAATGAAGCTTCCATCAAAGTTGAGTTTTATAAAATTGGGGGCCAGGGGCTTCCATTCCATCACTGTCCTTGCCTTGCCTATAGCTGATAGGGCCACCTCTTTCCAGGTTCTCAAGATATCATTAAGTGAAAAGACTGTGAAATCATCCAAATTTTTCACCCAATGTGCAGCTTTCAGTTTAACTGACTTGAGGATTTTTACCCAGGTCCTATTCGTATCATTGAAAGGTCTCCCACTTCTTTCTTCCCAAATGGTCCAAACCACCGCTGCTCTCGTTGCTTTCCAAAATAATCTTCCTCTTTTTGCTGGCTGTCTCAAGAAATGAGGATCAAAAAGGCCCACTGCATCCTGAGGAGAAATCCATCTGCACCCAAAAAGAAAAGATAGCTGCTCCCAAACATAACGCACAAAGGAACAAGAAGTGAAGATATGGGAAATAGTTTCACCACTATTCAAGTAAAGATATGGGATAGGCATCTGTTTGGCCTTCTTTTCTGCAACACATCACAGGTGTTGACCTTTTCAAGAAAGAGCTCCCAACAAAGGGCCTGAATTTTAGGAGGGATAGGCTTGCTCCAAATTTCTTTCACCAAGAAGTTCATCCCCAAATCATTCGATTGTGTTAAGAAATTGAAAAAAGAGGAACAAGTGAAAAATCCATCCGATGAAACTGATAACACCCTATTGTCCTCCAAAGTTTGATCCAAATAAACTGACTCAAGTTTAGCTAACAAAAGCATAAGAGAGTCACAATTCTGAATCCCTAAGCCCTCTTCTAAAGCCAAAATCCCAACTTAAATCCAATTCAGAGAAAAACACAAATTTTAATTGAAGGAAACATTTCATCATGAGACATTTTTATAGGAGCAAGGAGAAGAATAGTAAAATCAATTAATCAATTGAAGGGTTGTATGCAAAAGCAAAAAGGAAGGAGGGTTAGGTTTGAGAAGAATCATCCTCATAAGTTCTACTCCCCTTAGATTCTGACAAGTTGTGGCAAGCTGTTACAAGAGTATACATGAGCTGTTGGCCTATGGCTGGGACACAAGTTTTAACAAGAGAATTTCTAGACTCTAGGTTCTCCAAGAAAGCTATCATCACCATGCTTCTAGTTTTTATGCACAATGCATGTTATGATGCCCTTTCCATAAATAGAACTAAATTCTAGGAACACTCTTGATTGGAGGATATACCACTTAGGGAAAATTTTCCTACCCTTTATTCCATACCCATGCAAAAAATAAATAACTTGATTTTAGTTAAAAGAATGTATGAATCAATATCCAATCTGAGTTCCATAAGTACATGGCATGAACCCTAAAGATCCATGGAGGAGCCATATGACTGACCTGTTTTGTTCGTGGGCGAAATCCAAAGACAATTATTCTCATGTCTTTACCTGTAAAAAGGAAAACCAAATGAGGAAATGAGGAATCATGCTTTACCTTAAGCAAAGCCCCATTTCTATGCAAAAACAAAAATGAAAAGAAATTAAGCCCAGACTATGCCTTAGCAAGAAAACTTATTCCATACTGCAAAAAAGAGATATGAAAATATACAAAAAAAAAATCCATGCTGCATAGAATAGAAATATCGGTCTGCAAAAACCACCAAACTGATGCCCCTCATTTATGCTACATGTGGAATTCATGACAGAAAACCAAGGATAGACAGAGAAATAGGGGTGATCATGGACCTAGAAATATTGGGCCAAAGCCCAGCCTGCAAATTCCCAGGCCTGGTATGGATCTGGACACAAAACCTTGGCCAAGGCCAGAACATTTGTGGGTCTCCAAGTAGGACAAAGAATAATCACCCCAACAGAGAAAACGAACAATTAATGACAATATTTGCAAGAACTGTCAGTTTCTAATTGCTCCATACCATTAAAAACAAATTTGAAAAGGAATGAATTGTAAAGTTTAGAGATGTTGAAGAAGAAGAAGAAGAAGAAGAAGAAGAAGAAGAAGGAGGAGAAGGAGAAGGAGAAGAAGAAGAAGGAATTGTCGAGAATGCTTGGTGTGGCACTATTCACACCAAGGGACTTTTCATTTCTTCTTCATAAGAAAAATTACAAAGGTGTCCTTGAATAGGCGCCCAAATACAAAAAAACACAAACGGACAGAAATGCCCTCACACTCTTAACACTCCCCCTCAAGCTGAGCATAGATATTTATCATGCCCAGCTTGTTCAAATTGTTGTCAAGCTTTGATTTGGGAACACCTTTAGTAATACAATCAGCCAACTGGTCTTTAGACCTCACATAAGGTCGACAAATCTCTCCACCGGTAACTCTTTCTCTAATGAAATGTCAATCAACCTCTATATGCTTTGTAAGATCATGTTGAACAGGGTTGTGGGCTATGTTTATGGTAGCTTGATTGTCACAATGTAATATCATTGGAGTATCAATTTGCACTCTCATTTCTGTCAACAAGTTCTTCAACCACAACAATTCTGAGACTCCATGTGCCATAGCTCTGTACTATGCCTCTACACTAGAACGAGCCACAACTAATTGCTTCTTACTTCTCCAAGATACAACATTACCACCCACCAAAGTATAATAGCCAGAAGTAGACCACCTATCATCAATAGAACCTGACCAATTAGCATCAGAATGGGCCTCTACCTTCAAAGACCCATTATTAGAATATAATATCCCCATTCCTGGACATCCCTTCAAATAGGCAAGTATTCTATTCACTGCTTGCATATGAGATGATCTAGGCTTGTGCATGTAATGGCTGACCACACTCACAACATATGATATATCCGGTCTAGTCAAACACCAGTAGAGAAGGCGACCAACAAGTCTCTGATACACACCTTTGTCAGGAAGAACATCTCCATCATCAACTCCCAACTTATGATTGGGATCAATTGGAGTTTTAGCTGGTTTACAATCCAATTTTCCTACCTCCTGGAGTAAATCAAGGACATATTTCCTCTGAGAAATATAAATGCCCCTCTTTGACTTTGCCACCTCAATCCCTAAGAAATACCGGAGAATTCTGAAGATCCTTAATTTCGAATTCGGTAGCAAGGAAAGACTTTAGTTCAGCAATCCTAGAGATACCATCCCCTGTGATAACAATATCATTGACATATACTATCAACATAGTTATTTTTCCATTTGCTCTCCTAATAAACAGGGTATGGTCAACTTGTGATTGTGAGAAGCCAATTTTTAAGACAGCTTTCCTGAATCTGTCAAACCAAGCTCGAGGGGACTGTTTAAGGCCATAAAGGGATTTGTTCAAACGACAAACCTTTCCTTCACTCCCAGGGATGTTCACTCTTAGAGGAAGTTCCATGTAAACTTCTTCCTGAAGGTCTCCATTAAGAAGGCGTTCTTAACATCCATTTGATACAAGGGCCAAGAATAGTGGGCAGCAAAAGACATGATAACTCAGATTGAATTCATCTTGGCTACTGCCGCAAATGTTTCCTGGTAATCAATGCCATAAGACTAGGTGTACCCTTTTACCACAAGTCGATCTTTGTACCTTTCAATTGAACCATCAGCTTTATGCTTCACTGTGTAAACCCACTCGCATCCAACAGGAATTTTGCCTTCTGGAAGATAAACAATTTCCCATTCTGGTTTTTTTTTTTAAGTGCCTCCATTTCCTAGTTCAAAGCATCCTTCCAATGAGAAAACTGCATTGCCTCAGTAACATTGTGAGGGATAAAAACAAAAGCAATAGAAGAGATATAGGCACAATAAGAGGGTGAAAAAGTATCATAAGAGACATAGTTTGAGATGGGATACTTAGCACATGTCCGTCTTGCTTTACGAATTGGAATAGGAAGGTTAAGGTCAAAATCTACAAGAGGAGGCTCAACAATAGATTCAACACAGCCATTGGAAATAGGAAGAGGCTCAGAATCCAAATTACCTAAGTCCGGGAGGTCAAATTGTAAGGAACGTTCAATCTTTGAAGTCATCCTCTTTCTTCGTCTGATGAACCAATGATGCCAAGACCGAGGAATAGGAGGCAAAGGAGGAGGCACGGGAGGAGGACTACTACGACCACAGGGAGGAGGAGAAGGATTGATAGCATCAGTTGTAGGAATTGGCATACAAAAGGGAGTCCGATCTTCACTAACATCCTCCCCCTTAAGAGAAAGACGAGAGACAGAGAAGAAGGGAGTAGGCTCAAAGAATGTGACATCTTTGGACACATACCTTTTTCCAGAACAAGGGTCATAACAACGATACCCCTTTTGGACTGAAGAATATCCCAAGAAGACACACTTGATAGACTTTGGATCAAATTTCAGCCTAGAAGGACTCATGTCATGGACGAAGCAAACACACCCAAAAACCTTGGGAGGAAGATGGAATGTATCCTCATCAGGAAAAAGAAGTTGATGAGGAGACTGGAGATGCAAAGTCCGCGAGGGAAATCTGTTAATAAGATATGCAGTTGTTTGAGCAGCATCCCCCCAAAACCGAGTTGGAACATGCATCTGGAATAACAAGCCTCTAGTAACTTCAATCACATGTCAGTTTTTCCTCTCCAATACCCCATTTTGTTGGGGAGTATGACGGCAAGAACTCTAGTGAATCACTCCTTGTTCTTCAAGGATGGTTTGTAAGTGCTTCTCAAAGTACTCCTTGGCGTTGTCAGATCTAATAATATTAATCTTCTTCTCAAACTGTGTCTCCACCATACTAAACAAGTCTTTCACAATTGAAGGAACTTCATCTCGGCACTTCATCAAATACAGCCAAGTATACCGCAAGTAGTCATCAACAAAAAGAATGAAATATTTCTAGCCATCCATACATGGAATGGAATAAGGTCCCCAAACATCAGTATGTATTAAATGAAAAGCAACATTACTTTTTTTGTTACTTGCAAAAAAGGTTGTTCTACATTGCTTTGATAGTTGACAGACTTCATATTGCAGACCAGAACTAGACAATGACTCAAACAAACTAGGAAACAAAAACTTCAAAGAACCAAAAGACACATGCCCAAGACAATGATGCCACAATTTCAATTGACTTAGTTTCTCATCATGACAAGACACAGGCTAACACATCAACCCTAACATTGGAGACTGATCAAGAAGATAAACTCCATCGGCTTCATGTCCACTGCCAATCGTCTTCCCCGTACTCAGGTCCTAAAAGACACAATGAGATGCAAAGAAGGTTACAGAGCAATTATGAGACTTTGTAAGAGAACTAACAGATAAGAGACTTCTATGCAATTGTAGAACATGGAGTATAGAATTCAAAGAAAGGCTATTGGTAAGTTTAACTTCACCCGAATCCGATATTGGGGTCTGGGATCCATCGGCAATGGTAATCGTACCTTTCAAAAAAGTCTATAAGTGGTAAGTAGGAAGGCATACCAATCATATGATCACTAGCTCCTATGTCAATTATCCAAGAGGTAGAGGGTGGGACACGACACGCAAGTGCAGTACCTAATTTTGCAAAGGCACTAGAAGAAGCATTTGAACCAGTAGATGTAGGCAACCCGCTCTTATCAAGATGGAGTAAGATGCCTCTCAATTTTTCCATCACATCAGAGGTGTCATGAGTAGATGCCGAAGCAGGAGGATTTCCCTCAAGCATGCGAGTCTGAGAATCATGACTTGCAGTAGTAACATGAGCATTTACTTTCTTTCCAGTTTAAAACTTCTCACGTTTCAGGTGGGGATTTAGCTTCTAGCATCTATCCTTGGTATGCTTCGACTTCTTACAGTATTCACAAAAAACCTCTTCATGTTTATCAAAACTCTACTTAGGCTTTGTGGACACAAGAGCAGTGTGCTCACCTACAAACACTTGCATCAGCACTAAGGATGTGTTGCCTAGTGAAGTCATAATCAGTATTCAGCCCAACAAGAAAAGCAAAAACTCGAGTTTTTTCAATGTACTTCCTGTATTGTTCAGCATCAACAGGATATTTCCACTCCAATGCCTCAAAATGATCAATTTCTTCCCAAATTGATTGTAAGGAGGAGAAATACATAGCCATTGATTTCTCCCCCTATCGCATATTACATGCTTCTCTTCGCAACTGATAGATTCTAACAGTGTTTTTCGCTTGAGAATAAGTTGCAGTTAGTATGTCCCAAATATCTTTAACTGTTGGAAGGAACATATAGTTACGGGCGATGTGTGGCTACATAGAGCATACAAGCCATGACATAACCAGCAAATATTCCTGCTCCCATTTGGAATAGTGTGGATCTTCAGGCTTCGGCTTAGCTTCCTTACCGGTAATAAATCCGAGCTTACCTCTTCCACTGATTGTAAGCTTGGCTGATTGAGACCATTCAAGAAAATTTGTCCCATCAAGTTTACAGTAGTAATATGTCCTTCAGCATTGTCATTGCTTCCCGGGAGAACATAGGTAGGTACGCAGACGTCT